GGAATGCAGAGAGATCTAAGAATAGCACGTTCGGTTCCTACAGCGCAAGAGGACCTCAGAAATGCGCAGTGTGTCCCACCCAAACCATGGCTATTTATTAGCTACCTCCCCCCAACAAAACAACCTTTTAAGTTGTGTTTTGGTTTTCAACATTTTACACACAGAGCAGCGGGCAACACTGCGCTCCCCACCAAGACTCTCAAATTTTAGCTCAGATAAACTTGGGCTTGGAAAAGTAATGGCCACCCAAAGGGTTTCTTTTATTCCAGCCTGCCTTAAACTGCAAAGATCACCGGCTCATTTTCCTGCCCTCCAGGGAACCCTCCTTTCCCTTTGCGAGACTTGCGTCTGGTCTCATATTGGCGGGAGTAAAAGAAGAGCTCTTCTGGAGGCGGTGATGTTGTATCAGCATTGCTGAAGGCAGAATTGGGCCCAATATATCTGACATGCCAGAATAGGAGATCTGCAAGTACAAACTGTATTTAGACATGAAAAACAGGGAGATGCCCAACTATTCAACCTGCCTGGGCAAATGCAGCTTTTCACGTACCCAGAAACAGGCAATAAAGTCAAGTCGCTAAGCTTAAGCCCAGAAAACTGTGTGATAGTTTTGGAGACTATCTTTGACTCTCTGGCATTTACTACCATCTTTATATTGTGGATTTATGAGCCCAGACCTTTGAGTGTAATTTCACTCAGCAAGTATCAGTCCTACATGAGTAAAATGAAAACCTGCACATATCCACAAGAGCAATGTTAGCACCACCAGGCTTTGCAGTATCGCACAATGCGAACTGTCAGTGCCTCAATCAATATCCGTCAATGCTTGACAATAAAGACACAGTGCTTCAGATGGGAAAAATTAGCTCTTATCAGATTTACCAGTTGTCCAGGCAATACAGGATCTGGGATGCAGTCTGATTACGCTTAAGAGATATTAAGTACAAAAATAGTAGAGCTGTGAGGCGCCACTAGTAACCCAGCTTTTGGAATGTGGAGTCTTTGCTTTAATACGCATTAAAACAACAGCAAAAAGCTCACTCTGGGTCTCGGTCCCAGCCGCTGCTCTCTTCCCCATGTTGCTCTGCCTGCTACAAGGATCAAATTTCATGGTTTATTGTTCTCCCTCCAACTGGCCACCATCCACATTCTTCTTCTGTACAAAGCTGCACCTCTTGCTCAAAAGGAGACAGTACTATGCCTTCTTTTTATAAATTTTAGTCACATTTACAAACACACACACGGAGTAAGGGGATGACTTCTAAACACTAAACAACATTCCAGGGAATGCTGTTATTTTTCTTTGAGCAAATTTCTGTGAATGAGGCTAAAAAAGGCAATTTTCCACCAGAAGGTTAGTAATTTTTGAAGATGCAGAAGTTGTCTCCCCTGTCTTCTGAATCCTTAACATTTTGCCTTTTAATGAAACAACTGCTCTATGCTTGAAAAGTCCTATTCATCACCTGCCTCAGGAGAGAATTGGCACCGAGATTCTGCAAAGCTCAAATTCAGCTCCGGGTACACTGCTGGAAATCAAAACCACAGCCACTGGAGCTACTTCGCTATAGTGGAGTAAAACTGGTACACAGCAGGTCGGGTCCAAAATTTCAGTATCAATGTCTCAATGTAAATAAGAAATCTATTGCAGACAAGTAACAGATCTACATGCTAGATTCAAAGAAACGTAGCAAGTATCCCAGAATTTTAAGGCTTCCTACCTAGAATATTTTTTCCATGTCATTTTTCTTTTAATTCAGCACTCAGGATCCATTTTCTTCCATGAGATTTACAGTAAAGTTATCAAAACATAACAGAATGTTCCACTCCTGAACATCCACCATCTTTTTTCGGCAGCTCAACAGACTGTAAAACTGAAGCACTGTCATCTGGTGTATAATTATCGTAATAAGTCTTACTTGTAAAATGAGGGAGGCACCATAAGCTTACCTAGCTAGTCTGAAAATGTAAAATGCTCATCACCTGTAATCATTGTCTTAACTGTCCTTGATCTTTACTGATAGCCGCCAAATTATAATCACTCTCTCTGATGGTGGGAATCAGCTAAAAATGCAGCACCAGCAGAGCACTAGGAAAGTTGCTGGAAGAGGAGCTATTTTGGCCAATTAAAGAGACTCACTGCAGAGTTTTTCTCTTTTTTTTTTGGCTAATCATTGACGTAGGGGGTTCCGAGGTGTAAGACAAAAATGGAAAGCAGGGAAAAGTAGAGCACAGGAAACCTCAGGAATCCAACAGGGACGTGGCAATTCCACACACCCAGCGGGGGAGCCAGAAGAAAAATATATGCTCAAAGGTTATGGCCATACGATCAAAAGTGATCATGTTACTGCAGTTAACAACTTACCAGCCATCATCCCAGATGCAGTAAAACACTGTGAATGTATTCTTCACCCACACTGCCTCTGGAGTTAAACATCTGATGGGCAGTAATTCCTGAAGCTGCAGCAACTTACTCACTTTCAATCATATGTCCATCCATACTCCTAGATCCCAAGCCAGCAAGACCCTCTACTTTGTGTTTAATTTGGGTCCCACTGAACACAAAGAGGGTCCTCACGTGCTTAAAGCAACATAATTGCTTCAGGCCTTTGTTGAATTAGGGGCCTTATATTGATAAGCCTTTACAGCGAACTGTATGTGCCATATCGTTACATGTTACATATTTGGATAAGCAAATTCAGCAAGTCACCAGCCTTCCCAGCTGGCCGTTTTAAGCTGTTATCGAGGCAAGGCAGTACTGAGCGTGCACGAGTTGGAAGGGAGTGAGTTGATCCTAAAGTGACACAGTGGAAATGCACCTCATTGATCTACCACTAAGAAGCTGACATTTACTTACTATCCCCTTATTTCTCATTGCTATCATAGGACAAGGCTACACCAAGTCACCTACATTGAAGAAGAAATCCACCTCTATAAGAACCAGTCACTTAGCAGGGAAGAAGAGCAAAGAAACCCAGGCTCTGGAGCGGGTTCCCCAGCCGAGCACCACGCTCTCGAGCGGCATCTAACAGACCTTCAGAGATCAGCCTCTGGTTTGCCAGGTGAGAAGCGTTTCAGTCCTTCACGAGGAGCTGATGGAGCGCCTGTGTGCACAGCTAAGCAGCTGGAAGGGTTCTGCTTCCAAAGTGTTGGCTCAGCCTAGCAAGGTACTTGGCTTTGGTGGTGAGGTTCAATCTGTTTGCCTTTGTTCTTCCTAACGTAAAGATAGCGGTTAATTCCTCACACCCAGGCTGCTCTCGGACTGAGTCCCCAAGCCCTTCCTTGCTCTGAAGTCCTCGTTCACAGTAAATCTTTCTGATCTGGGGTGGCAGTGGATAGTGCTTCGCATTGCTCCTTGAGTCTCAGGAAGAAGGGTGCTGGAGGGAAATCAGGGCTGTGTCTCACTCCTGCCAGCTGCATTTCTGCATTTACCAGCTGGGTTGGTATCGCAGATCAACAAAGGGTGGGGAATGGCCCTCATCCAAAGCGGGGCATTGCTTCTGGCAAATGCTGGTAACAGGTATTTCAAGTCTGCCTCTTTGTACTGTTTGACCTGCTGTCCATGAAGGAGTCACATTTTAACTTCACTTCTCAGCCCACCTGATCTTTTCTAGCCTCAGAAGCGTAACACGAACATGAATTTGTTGAAGGGCACTAAGAAAAAAAAAATATATTCCCACTAAAAAGATGATGGGCAACATGTTATGGGAACATCTCTACAACTTACAATATAAGCTAAATAAGAATACCACCTATACACGTAAAAATAATTTATTTTAGTGGTATGAAATGTGTTTTGCCTAATAGCATAAAGTCCTCCACTGGGCTAGAAGAGACAACGCATGGTGGAACTACAGTACATTTCAATTGAAGAAATAAGTAAAGTTACTTCTGATAACACCAGGATGTTGTTACTGCCTTGTCCTTGTATACACTGTGCACGCCCCAGTTGTTTAAGTGACGTCGCATTTGAAACACACAGGAAAGTAAAAATAAGAAAATAAATGGCTCAATATTTTCACATAAGCCCTATAAGACAGAAGAGGCGTTCTCACCTGTCTGCTTTGAGACGGCAACGTGGCAGGCTGCATGTGTCTCTGCATCCGATGTGGCTGCATCAGCTGTCGAAACTGCTGCTGGAGAAACTGGCTGTTGTTAGGCTGCTGGGACTGCTGCGGGGCTGGAGGCGGCTGCTGCTGGCGGCGGCGGGGGCTGCGGGGGGGGTGGGGGGGAGGGTGAGA